TTATAGTTGAGTGGCGAGTGTTATAGCTGAGTGGCGAGTGTTATAGCTGAGTGGCGAGCGTTATAGCTGAGTGGCGAGTGTTATAGCTGAGTGGCGAGTGTTATAGCTGAGTGGCGAGTGTTATAGCTGAGTGGCGAGTGTTATAGCTGAGTGGCGAGCGTTATAGCTGAGTGGTGAGTGTTATAGCTGAGTGGCGAGTGTTTTAGCTGAGTGGCGAGCGTTATAGCTGAGTGGCGAGTGTTGTAGCTGAGTGGTGAGTGTTATAGCTGAGTGGCGAGCGTTACAGCTGAGTGGCGAGTGTTATAGCTGAGTGGCGAGCGTTATAGCTGAGTGGCGAGTGTTATAGCTGAGTGGCGATTGTTATAGCTGAGTTGCGAGCGTTATAGCTGAGTGGCGAGTGTTACAGCTGAGTGGTGAGTGTTATAGCTGAGTGGCGAGCGTTATAGCTGAGTGGCGAGTGTTATAGCTGAGTGGCGAGTGTTATAGCTGAGTGGCGAGTGTTACAGCTGAGTGGCGAGCGTTATAGCTGAGTGGCGAGTGTTATAGCTGAGTGGCGAGCGTTATAGCTGAGTGGTGAGTGTTATAGCTGAGTGGCGAGTGTTATAGCTGAGTGGCCAGTGTTACAGCTGAGTGGTGAGTGTTATAGCTGAGTGGCGAGCGTTATTGCTGAGTGGCGAGTGTTATAGCTGAGTGGCGAGTGTTATAGCTGAGTGGCGAGTGTTACAGCTGAGTGGCGAGTGTTATAGCTGAGTGGCGAGTGTTATAGCTGAGTGGCGAGTGTTATAGCTGAGTGGCGAGTGTTATAGCTGAGTGGCGAGTGTTATAGCTGAGTGGCGAGTGTTATAGCTGAGTGGCGAGTGTTATAGCTGAGTGGCGAGTGTTACAGCTGAGTGGCGAGTTTTATAGCTGAGTGGTGAGTGTTATAGCTGAGTGGCGAGTGTTATAGCTGAGTGGCGAGTGTTATAGCTGAGTGGCGAGTGTTATAGCTGAGTGGTGAGTGTTATAGCTGAGTGGCGAGTGTTATAGTTGAGTGGCAAGTGTTATAGCTGAGTGGTGAGTGTTATAGCTGAGTGGCGAGTGTTATAGCTGAGTGGCGAGTGTTATAGCTGAGTGGCGAGCGTTATAGCTGAGTGGCGAGTGTTTTAGCTGAGTGGCGAGTGTTATAGCTGAGTGGCGAGTGTTATAGCTGAGTGGTGAGTGTTATAGCTGAGTGGCGAGTGTTAAAGCTGAGTGGCGAGTGTTATAGCTGAGTGGCGAGCGTTATAGCTGAGTGGTGAGTGTTATAGCTGAGTGGCGAGTGTTATAGCTGAGTGGCGAGTGTTATAGCTGAGTGGTGAGTGTTACAGCTAAGTGGTGAGTGTTATAGCTGAGTGGTGAGTGTTATAGCTGAGTGGCGAGTGTTATAGCTGAGTGGTGAGTGTTATAGCTGAGTGGCGAGTGTTATAGCTGAGTGGCGAGTGTTATAGCTGAGTGGCGAGTGTTATAGCTGAGTGGCGAGTGTTACAGCTGAGTGGCGAGTGTTATAGCTGAGTGGCGAGTGTTATAGCTGAGTGGTGAGTGTTATAGTTGAGTGGCGAGTGTTATAGCTGAGTGGCGAGTGTTATAGCTGAGTGGCGAGCGTTATAGCTGAGTGGCGAGTGTTATAGCTGAGTGGTGAGTGTTACAGCTGAGTGGCGAGTGTTATAGCTGAGTGGCGAGTGTTATAGCTGAGTGGCGAGTGTTATAGCTGAGTGGCGAGCGTTATAGCTGAGTGGTGAGTGTTATAGCTGAGTGGCGAGTGTTTTAGCTGAGTGGCGAGCGTTATAGCTGAGTGGCGAGTGTTGTAGCTGAGTGGTGAGTGTTATAGCTGAGTGGCGAGCGTTACAGCTGAGTGGCGAGTGTTATAGCTGAGTGGCGAGCGTTATAGCTGAGTGGCGAGTGTTTATAGCTGAGTGGCGATTGTTATAGCTGAGTTGCGAGCGTTATAGCTGAGTGGCGAGTGTTACAGCTGAGTGGTGAGTGTTATAGCTGAGTGGCGAGCGTTATAGCTGAGTGGCGAGTGTTATAGCTGAGTGGCGAGTGTTATAGCTGAGTGGCGAGTGTTACAGCTGAGTGGCGAGCGTTATAGCTGAGTGGCGAGTGTTATAGCTGAGTGGCGAGCGTTATAGCTGAGTGGTGAGTGTTATAGCTGAGTGGCGAGTGTTATAGCTGAGTGGCCAGTGTTACAGCTGAGTGGTGAGTGTTATAGCTGAGTGGCGAGCGTTATAGCTGAGTGGTGAGTGTTATAGCTGAGTGGCGAGTGTTATAGCTGAGTGGCGAGTGTTACAGCTGAGTGGCGAGTGTTATAGCTGAGTGGCGAGTGTTATAGCTGAGTGGCGAGTGTTACAGCTGAGTGGCGAGTGTTATAGCTGAGTGGCGAGTGTTATAGCTGAGTGGCGAGTGTTATAGCTGAGTGGCGAGTGTTATAGCTGAGTGGCGAGTGTTACAGCTGAGTGGCGAGTTTTATAGCTGAGTGGTGAGTGTTATAGCTGAGTGGCGAGTGTTATAGCTGAGTGGCGAGTGTTATAGCTGAGTGGCGAGTGTTATAGCTGAGTGGCGAGTGTTATAGCTGAGTGGTGAGTGTTATAGCTGAGTGGCGAGTGTTATAGTTGAGTGGCAAGTGTTATAGCTGAGTGGTGAGTGTTATAGCTGAGTGGCGAGTGTTATAGCTGAGTGGCGAGTGTTATAGCTGAGTGGCGAGCGTTATAGCTGAGTGGCGAGTGTTTTAGCTGAGTGGCGAGTGTTATAGCTGAGTGGCGAGTGTTATAGCTGAGTGGTGAGTGTTATAGCTGAGTGGCGAGTGTTAAAGCTGAGTGGCGAGTGTTATAGCTGAGTGGCGAGCGTTATAGCTGAGTGGTGAGTGTTATAGCTGAGTGGCGAGTGTTATAGCTGAGTGGTGAGTGTAATAGCTGAGTGGCGAGCGTTATAGCTGAGTGGCGAGTGTTATAGCTGAGTGGCGAGCGTTATAGCTGAGTGGTGAGTGTTATAGCTGAGTGGCGAGTGTTATAGCTGAGTGGCGAAGTGTTATAGCTGAGTTGCGAGTGTTATAGCTGAGTGGCGAGCGTTATAGCTGAGTGGTGAGTGTTATAGCTGAGTGGCGAGTGTTATAGCTGAGTGGCCAGTGTTACAGCTGAGTGGTGAGTGTTATAGCTGAGTGGCGAGCGTTATTGCTGAGTGGCGAGTGTTATAGCTGAGTGGCGAGTGTTATAGCTGAGTGGCGAGTGTTAAAGCTGAGTGGCGAGTGTTATAGCTGAGTGGCGAGTGTTATAGCTGAGTGGCGAGTGTTACAGCTGAGTGGCGAGTGTTATAGCTGAGTGGCGAGTGTTATAGCTTAGTGGCGAGTGTTATAGCTGAGTGGCGAGTGTTATAGCTGAGTGGCGAGTGTTACAGCTGAGTGGCGAGTTTTATAGCTGAGTGGTGAGTGTTATAGCTGAGTGGCGAGTGTTATAGCTGAGTGGCGAGTGTTATAGCTGAGTGGCGAGTGTTATAGCTGAGTGGCGAGTGTTATAGCTGAGTGGTGAGTGTTATAGCTGAGTGGCGAGTGTTATAGTTGAGTGGCGAGTGTTATAGCTGAGTGGTGAGTGTTATAGCTGAGTGGCGAGTGTTATAGCTGAGTGGCGAGTGTTATAGCTGAGTGGCGAGCGTTATAGCTGAGTGGCGAGTGTTTTAGCTGAGTGGCGAGTGTTATAGCTGAGTGGCGAGTGTTATAGCTGAGTGGTGAGTGTTATAGCTGAGTGGCGAGTGTTAAAGCTGAGTGGCGAGTGTTATAGCTGAGTGGCGAGCGTTATAGCTGAGTGGTGAGTGTTATAGCTGAGTGGCGAGTGTTATAGCTGAGTGGTGAGTGTAATAGCTGAGTGGCGAGCGTTATAGCTGAGTGGCGAGTGTTATAGCTGAGTGGCGAGCGTTATAGCTGAGTGGCGAGTGTTATAGCTGAGTGGCGATTGTTATAGCTGAGTGGCGAGTGTTATAGCTGAGTGGCGAGCGTTATAGCTGAGTGGCGAGTGTTATAGCTGAGTGGCGAGTGTTATAGCTGAGTGGTGAGTGTTATAGCTGAGTGGCGAGTGTTAAAGCTGAGTGGCGAGTGTTATAGCTGAGTGGCGAGCGTTATAGCTGAGTGGTGAGTGTTATAGCTGAGTGGCGAGTGTTATAGCTGAGTGGCGAGTGTTATAGCTGAGTGGTGAGTGTAATAGCTGAGTGGCGAGCGTTATAGCTGAGTGGCGAGTGTTATAGCTGAGTGGCGAGCGTTATAGCTGAGTGGCGAGTGTTATAGCTGAGTGGCGATTGTTATAGCTGAGTGGCGAGCGTTATAGCTGAGTGGCGAGTGTTACAGCTGAGTGGTGAGTGTTATAGCTGAGTGGCGAGCGTTATTGCTGAGTGGCGAGTGTTATAGCTGAGTGGCGAGTGTTACAGCTGAGTGGCGAGTGTTATAGCTGAGTTGCGAGCGTTATAGCTGAGTGGCGAGTGTTACAGCTGAGTGGTGAGTGTTATAGCTGAGTGGCGAGCGTTATTGCTGAGTGGCGAGTGTTATAGCTGAGTGGCGAGTGTTATAGCTGAGTGGCGAGTGTTATAGCTGAGTGGCGAGTGTTACAGCTGAGTGGCGAGTGTTATAGCTGAGTGGTGAGTGTTATAGCTGAGTGGCGAGTGTTACAGCTGAGTGGTGAGTGTTATAGCTGAGTGGCGAGTGTTATAGCTGAGTGGTGAGTGTTATAGCTGAGTGGTGAGTGTTATAGGTGAGTGGCGAGCGTTATAGCTGAGTGGTGAGTGTTACAGCTGAGTGGCGAGTGTTATAGCTGAGTGGCGAGCGTTATAGCTGAGTGGCGAGTGTTATAGCTGAGTGGTGAGTGTTATAGCTGAGTGGCGAGTGTTATAGCTGAGTGGTGAGTGTTACAGCTGAGTGGCGAGCGTTACAGCTGAGTGGCGAGCGTTACAGCTGAGTGGCGAGCATTGCTGAACGAATCGCGTCGATGCTTTTCGTCGCGCACCTCCAGTAGATGAGCACGGAGATGAGCAGCACGAGGCAGAGGAAGGTGAGCGACGATACGACGAGCAGCGGCACGAAGACGTTGCCCCCCACGTCCACTCCGAGCTGGCGGCTGACGTTCCCTGCACTCGGACACAGAGACGCGGAGGTCGCGCCGCTTCACGCTCGCCGACACCGAATGTTCACCCCGCGCGCAGGCTCCATCGCGGGCGTCCCGTCGTTTTGTCTGGATGAGAGTTGGGATCCTGACGCCTCGTCTGGGCTGCATGGAGCACCAAGTTCCGGCCTCGCTCGACTGTTTTACTTTCGCCAGGTAAAGCCCACTGAGCCGTGAGATGTTTTTTTCAGAGGCGACCTGGCCACGCACGATAGCCCATCGATAGTGGCTGACATCGTCGCGTGTGGAGATGTTACGGTCGGCATTATTTTTTTTTAAATGTGGAGGGCGAAACGAGAGGCCCCGGAGACAAAATCCAGGCGACTACGGCAGGTGTCAGTCCCCCGTGAGGACAACCAGAAACAGGTGCCACGTGCGGCGAACCATAACATATACAGCACAGAAGATACACGAGAAATCGTACATTATTTCAACTTGATAGCTGTGGTCAAAGACAAAGATCCCCCGTATAGCCTGTAACAGACTGTAGGGGCAAGTGCTGTTAGCGAGCACCTATAAAGGCCGGCACGGCACACGAAGGGGTGGGAGACCAACACCACGCCCGGCCGCCTTTGTCTCCCTAGTGGCGATGCTTACACATCGCACCAGGTACTCATTGGAGGCTGAGTCGACCTAGGTGAGGCCCAGAACCGGTTCAGATAATCGTCACCGGTGTTGGCCGTTCGTAGCGCAGCGCGCTAACCGCTACACCACCGCTCCCGCTGTGGCACCACCACCACACACACACGTGTTTGCCAGAAACACTCGGGTCAACAGAAATTGCGGTGAAGCTGAATTATAAACCCAGTGGCAGCAACAATGGCAACAGAGGTGGGGGGCGGATTTATAATTGTGAACATCCCTTGCGAAGATCGAAGAGTCCTGGTCGCACTATGTAACCTCACATGCGCAGATATGGGCTGGACTGGCGCATTTGTACTTCTGCAGGGCTTCTCTCTGAGCGATGATCCGCACATGCGAACGTGTGGCATGATTATACAGCTAGGCTATTGCGTAGGAGTAATTACATCCATTCCTCCGGTGATCGTACACCGATTAACCGATTGCATCAGTTTGTTCTATCTTGCTGACAAATTCCAACCATCCGGTAGCACTGCACGGGCGGGTAAAATTAAATGCGTCAGCAAACATTTGTTTGGACACAAACAGCTGTTTTTGCGATGAGCAATTTCAGCTTAATTACATTTGTTTTGGAACATTTCCCCCCAAAAAAGCTGGGCTATATTGCTAAAGCCTCAATGAAATGTAACATTTCTCAACATCTCGTCACTTGCGCGAAACGCTTTGAGTAACATCTGGTTAATTATGGGGCTGATATGTTTAATGATTTAGTTTGGATTTCTTAGTAATGAGTGATTGACAGTGGTTATGATTAAAATGCAACACTCTGTAAATTATGAGAAAACCCAAACAATGGAAAGTAATCGGTTGAACACCACACACTGGTGTACTCCTCACAACCAAGCAGGAAGATATAATTCCTAACATGCCACATGCATGTCACATGGCATATGTGACATGTATTGTACAAATGTGTATGTATATAGAATGTACACGAATATAAAATGTTCAGCTCATTGTCATCAATCCCAAAAGTTGTACAACAACCTGACTGTGCATACTACTCAGATTGCAAAAACGTTGTGGATTTACTCTCCAACACACCGGTGGGCTGAAGTAGCAAACTAATTGGCGCGTTGTTGTTTACGTGACAAACCTTACTGGCTGTGTAGGGTGGTGGAGGGTTACGACACGTTTATACTGACGCGATCTAGCCCCCCCCAAAAACTGTATTATGAATACTATTGGTCGCGAAAGCCTACGTGTTAAACTAACCTTACTGTAATTGCCAAATATTTATTTGGATTAGCATTTGAAACAAATGCACCCTTAAAATTAAAAGCGCTTCTTAAAACGCACGGATATCTTGGAACGTGAAGGCAGAGTGATGTTTGTAATACATGAAACTTAAGGCAATGTTAATTTCGCACAAGTGACCCTTGCAATTATTGTCTGAGAGTTATTCTCGAGGGAGCATCGGGGAACTGCATTTCTAACATCACAATTCGTTGTATTTTACACCGGATTTTAAAAAAAAGTGCATTTTGAATTAAGGTTTGCCTTCGCTAAACTGCATATCATATTTCTAACAATACATATCCTCATTTTGGAAATACAAATTCAGCCATGAATAATAATAATATGCAGTCGAGAACACATGAATGCAAAAGACAGCATTCATCCACATAGTTTACACGTGGAAATCAAATGAAACACTTAAACACGTATTTTAATTAAATGTACGGCATCGCAGATGAGTCGCTTAGCATGGACACGCACGGCAGAACAAATGTTACAATTGGTGCAGTGGACCGAAACACGTGCGGGACAGAAGTCACGACGCACACACAGAGGGGACACGTCAGGGTAGGAAGCACACGCGGGCACGCGATGTGATGCAGAAGCGGGGATCGGACTCACGCCAATGAATGAAACTACAAGGGAGCGGGGGACGGGGGACAAACGGCGTTTATTGAGCAATGAAAGTACACACAACGCACGCACAAAGGATGGCGCTCACCACCGCACGCGCTCAACAGCGTGCGGCAAAGTGAACACGGTGAAGTGGAAGTGGGGGGGGGGGGGGGGGCACGATGGAGGGACGGAGAATGGGGTGAAAAATGACACGACGATGGGTAGGGCGACGGCAGTGCGTAGGGTGACGACGACTCCTCGCCAGCACGGCGAGACGTCACAAGAGCGCACGGTGGCGTCATCACGATGAAGACGGCGGTGGGGGGGGATGACGACGACACGCACCGTGTGACGAGGCGACGCGGGGAGGGAGGGCGATGGTTGAGAGATGGGAGCAGCGTGGGAGTGAGAGCGGTGGCAGCGAGAAAACGAAAACTAAAATATTTTACTTTACTATTTTACCAGGTAAGGCCCACTGAGCTGCATAGCTCTCATTCAGAAGCATCCTGGCCACAAATGGTAGCTCAACAAAGTGGCTTACCACGTGGAAATGTATAGCAGCCAAATACTCCAAACGCGTGATTGTTGCTTCTCAATGTGGAGGGAAAATCTGGACGACACGGAGAAAAATCCACGCGACCACGGGGAGAGAGACACGCAGACTCCAAATATACAGCAGGCGTTGGGGTCTGCAGCGAACCCACGACCTCCTGCATACCAGGCGAGGTAGTTAACATCTCATAGCCATCGTGGCGAGAGATGTCAGGCGACCGGCCCCACTGCTGAATGGACACGGCGTTCCCTGTCGCGCTGCCTACCCTGACAACCCACCACGTGTGCGAGAGGCACGGGAGGATCTTGTGGCACTGCCCCCTCGCAGTCAGCAGACGTAAACAGCAGCCACTCTGCGCGTGGCAGCGAATCGTTCCCATAGCCCTTGAATCGAAATTAAAACTGCACACCAGCTTGGGTTCCCGCTAACTGGTCAGTTTATTCTTCGAGATGTCTTTTTGTTTTGTTTTGGTAATCGATTCCAACTATGCTTGTTTATTTGTTAAGTCATGCTGGACTATTTAGATGGAAAATTTGACAGCGACAGGCCAAAGTGGTATCCAGTGACCTGCAGATTCATCTGAGACTAATGGTTCTCCAATGGCAGCCGTAGATAACATTTATTTTATTTTCTCGAAATACTTTGCTGTTACCACGATCAGAGGTGGTGTAACGATGAAACGATTCATTCCTTAAAATAGATTTTTACAATCATAATTAATGGGCCTTTTGTCATTCCACTACCGGATGGAGATCTCCCCACACCAAGTCAGCCATGGGGATTGGTTGACCAAACTTTACCACGCTACTTAGCGTGGGTTGGTAGTACGGGGCCCAGGGCAGTTTCAGGCGTCACTTGCCACTTGTGTTGAATGCGGTCGAGAATCAAACTCAGACGTCGAGGTTCAGAGGGCAGAGCGCCGAACACAATGTCCTCGCTCCACCACACACTTGGGCGTGAAAAAATCAATTATTTACCATTCGTGCAAATTTCATAACGGACTCACGTGATCCCTGCCGCCACTAGAGGCTGCTATATTTATCATAATCAGAAAAACAAATTGATTATTTAGTTAAATTGAAATCCCAAATCATGGCCGTTCATCTACTGTAATTGCAAGTGGGCGCATTGATACACACCTAATTATTCATCACACCTGCTTCATACTGTATACCTAAACAATTGCAAAATACTCACGATTTACAATGGCTTACCATTGTTCCGTTTTGCTTACTTAAAGAGTCGAATAATTACGTAATGTATGTTGAACTTATTGCGCACCGTACGTAGCCAACTATTTATTAATTTGACTGCATACGAACCATTTTTTTATGGAAGGAAGACTTTTTATATATTTTATTATGTTATTGTTTCCCTTCAACGTAACTTTACCGAAAGAACGAAGGACGACTTGTCACTTTCAGGAGAAAGCAACCTTATTATCCACTATAGCTGAGTACGTGGAGCATAAAGAGACAAATACTGACATATGGATCTCAAGTATGGACATTGACAAAGAACACGGAACACACAAAGTTGATGAATGCACAAAGACACGTGGAGGGGTGCACGCTTGGAATTGCACGGAGAGCCAGAAAGAGGAGGAACACACAGATCGGAGAACAAATGCAAATTAGAGACGTCCCTTTGCCTGTCAAGTAAAGCACACGAGGGATTGGGCAGTGCACACAGCCGCAAGGGACGATGGCCTCAGGAAGGAATACACCCCGAGAGGACTACCGTCGTGGAGATGGAACGATGAGATCATCTCATGTGCAGGAGTGGGAGATAGAGTGAGAATTGGAGTGAGAGATGGAGTGAGAGATGGAGTGAGAGATGGAGTGGGAGATGGAGTGAGAGATGGAGTGAGAGATTGAGTGAGAGATGGAGTGAGAGGTGGAGCGAGAGATGGAGTG